AATATAAGATATTAAAATGGTCCAACAAAAGTCAATGAGGAGTTGCTAGTAACAATATCAATAAGAGCATGTCAAAAATAAAGAATTTCATATTCTTCAATGATCATTACAATTCAAAATACAAGACATTCCATTACAATACAAACACAATTATGAAATGGCATTAGTCATATTCTCCAATACTCATTTTATTACCATTGCAACACAAAATACAAGAGTGTGCTAAATCAACCATTTTAGGATATTAATATTACATTTAATTCCTTTAATATTCAAACTCAATGGATTGTTCTCTACTTCATGAGTGTTGGTAGCCATAAATCTCTTACTGTCTTGCTCTTCTTTGAGTTTCATGTTTAATATGTTTGACTGTTATGGGATTGCACCATGCCTAATAAGGTCTTCCTTTGTTTAGCATCTCAGACTCTGTCATCCAAAGTATTGCAATTACACCACAATCACAATTTTTTACTTTTAAATCTAATCTCAATGGCTTCATCTCCTATCTCCACCAGTACCAATACATGTTGATGCTGAACATCTGGGAAAAAAAATTCAAGCAGAAAATTCATAATCAAATTAAACCATTGTTATCTCATAATAATTATGAACATTATGACGTCATGCTCCATGAGAATTATTCGTCTAGTATTTTTCAACTTTTATAAATTTATGAGAATCAATCTTTTTTGATTCTTAGCTTTTATAAATTTATAAATTCATAAATTCATAAATTTTAGAAATTCAAGCAAACATTGACTGTAACTGATTATAAATAATTTTTTCTCTTCTTTAATTTGGCCTTTCTTTAATTAGACACACGTAAAATTAATTATAAGTTTGAATTAAACAACTTAAGACACAATTATAAAACAAAAACTATATAAATTTATAGGAATTAGTGTCATATTATATTTTTTATTATCTTTAAATGATATATTCATATATATAACATATAATAAATATATAAAATTATATATTTCATGCGTGTCTCTCACGTATTGTGTTCTTCATTTTTTGTCGGCGTATCCGTATCGTATCATATGTCTGTGTCCATACTTCTTAGGTCTCACCTTATCTTGTGAAATCTCTCATGGTATAACTACAAACTCTTAGCTCAAGAAACAGTGAAACCACCAGTCTAGACAAATTCTTAGCACCAATATGGAAAAAATTTAACACGAAAATTATACTTTCCTAATTGTTAGTGCCAAAATGGAAAAATTCTTATGCCCCACCGATCAAATTGCAAATAGAAGACTTGAATAAGACAACATCACTTTACTTGTTTTTTTAGCTTTTTCCTTCTATCATTATTCACATGAATGATTTTGTTATTCATCAGTAAGTAATTCTATGAATTAACTCCATATATTTAAAATTTAAGGGTTATATCTTCAAATAGTCTATATATTCAATCAGGAATAAAAACCCATATATTAATCAAGCAGCAAAGAAAGAACCCACTTGGAAGACTAGTTGAATCATTCTGCAACCTCCTGGAGCCATTTCCTTCCATCTAATCAACCACCCTCTGCAATTCAGTAGCCGAACTTAACGACTTCTCATCATCATCCACAGATCCTATTGTCTGGTGGGTTGATGATAAACTCAACAACCCAATAAGACACTCCCATTTACGAACTCCCTCCTTGTCTTTCGCCTGATAACACACAAACCCAGAAGGCTTAAAACTCAATTCTCCCCAACCCAGTTGAGGAACAACACTCTCCATCTTAACAACACCGTTCAAAGCCATCATTGGGTTACCAAAACAATACAATTTTCATCAGGAAAACTGTTTAATTCAAAGCAATTTATAAGAGGAACTCATTAGATAATAAGTGTATGGAAAAAGAATAAACACACACTTGGGGTAGGACTGGAAGATTTGGTTGAGGAATTTTGTCGAACAGATGAGGCACACCAGCAGAGAATTAGGTGAAGAGATGGTATTCAACAAGTAGCAGGAAATGTTTGAACAAAGATAGTGATGTGTAACGACCACAAAACATTTTAATAAAAGAAAACAGCTAAATTCACAGTAAATTAAGTGAAAGAGAGAAGTACTAGTCAACGATGAGAAAGACGAGTTCTAAGAAGAAGGTATTCCGATGACGCTTATCTTTCTTTCTCTCCCCAGTTCGTTCTGAGAAGAATGACAATGGTAAGAAGGTATTCAACTTTCTCTCTCTAGTCTTTCCAACTTCTCTTCTTTTCTTTTTTTTTCCTTTTTTTTTAATAATATATGGGGGCTACACCAAGATGAGTTGGTCAATGCCAACTCATGCATGAACCATTCCCTGATAAACATTTCCTGACCCGTAGCATTACCGATTAAAATTTGAAAATATTTATGCAATGGAGCAAAACAAAGTAGGGAGTTTACCAAACCACATTTAAATTATCAATTTAGTAAGGTTAGGAATATAGACACCCAATTTAAAATGAGACACATATGTTTTATATAAGTTAAGTCTTACATGATGCGAGACTTACATTTGAGACTCATCTCATATAATACATATGTGTCTCATTGTGTTTGGTGTATATTCCTAAACATATTGTTATCAATTAGATATGAACCACGAATATATTTTTAAGAATGTGGTGTCTATTTTTTTATTTTTTTTATTAGATACGTGTCAGAAAATATTTGAACAACATGCATTCCTCAAGTGGAACCATATTTTTTAATTTTTACGAAAAACAAAAACATATGCATATTTATAAACTACAAATAGGGCAATTCTTAAATGTGCAAGTGCATACCATATGCACTTCCATAAATTTTCATAAATATACATAAATTATCTTACAAAATTCGTAAGTTTTTACAAACATACTTAGGTTAATCCATAAAAAATTAAAAAATCACAACTTACATATATTTATAAAAACTTACATAATTTTATAAAATAACTTATATATATATATATATATTTGTAAGAATGTATATAAGCACATATAACATACATCTTACACACCTAAACAGTTACCCTAAAACTATTATTACTTCGGTAATGGGCTTTTGAAATTTGAAAACTGAAGTGGTTAGTTGGGGAGTAGTACGTAATTATTCCAGTGGTCCCATGAAAAAAAATCTAGAGCGCTGCTATTAACATTCTACAAATTATTTTAGATCCCTCAATTTGTAACTTTTTTATTACAATAATAATTTTAAATAAAATTATTAAAAAAGACATTATTAATTTTGGAACACTTCATCTCACAATTAAACTTACACACCCCCTACATTATGAATTAAGGTTTATGAGAGCACCCACCTCTATCACTACCCATCTATCTTTTCCAAATCCCTCCTTCAAAACTAACCTACCCTCAAAACCTTGAAAATCTTTCGGTGGCAATATTTCGGCGGTAACCATTTGACTATCTACACTTCTCTGGCAATAAGTGGAAGTTTTTTCGACAACCACAACTCCATGAGACGAGTAGAGCACAACAAAAGTTCAGAGAAGGTTCATAGTTTTGATGGTGTTCTTAGCTTAAAAGAGATTGGCCTTGTAAGGGTAAATTTCTTACAATAAAAAAAAGGCAAAAATAATAAAATATGTTCGCCATTTTTTTGGGATTGAACTCCCGAACATATGACCAAAATTCGAGAATATAGGCCCAAACATTGTTTATTTGTTCAAGAACTGGTAACTGAACATTTATTATTTGTTCGGAAATAGGTAACCAAACATTAATCACCGAAGAAAAGAATGAGGCAACACAAAGAAAGAGAGAGAGACAGAGAGACAGAGAGAGTGCATACCAACTGTGACAATGGTTAAACCGAAGAAAATGATGAGGCGACAAAGACAATAATCACACTTGGCTCTTCTTCTTCTTCGTGGGCTTTATTAGGATTTTTGAAAATACGTTTTTTTGGGTTATGGGGGTGTGCATTCAATTGAATGAGTGGAATGTTTTCACAAGGATAATTTTAGTATTATTTCGGGAGAAAAAATAAATCTTAAGGGTTTCAAAATTTATAAGTAGGGGTCCAAAGAAATGAGAAGTCTAAAATAATAGATGGGTACTAATAGAACCACTCAAAATCTATGTAACAAAATAGGGTAAATTACAAACACACCCTTTGAGATTTACTTAAATTACAAATTATCCCCTGTGGTTTTAGAATTTACATTATGTCCCTCTTGTTTCTAATTTCATAATAAATAGGGCCTTTTATTAATAAATCATCAAGTTTATTAACTGTTTTTTATAATGTTAAAATTTTATTTCAATTAATAATTTAGATAATTTTTTTATTGTATAGATGAATAATTAGAAATTTCACTTTTTCAATTAATTATGTTAAATAAAAAATTCTGACAAAAAGATATTTGTAATTTTTTAAACTATAAAGAACAATTTATATTTTAAACAAATCTCAAAAAAATGTATTTATAACTTACTTAACAAAATAAATGACTAAACGGCTATTATTCGCTCAATTCAAAAAAAAAAAAGGCTGTTATTCACTGCATCTGCATCAAAAATACAAGGAGCCATACAATTCACGTTCTGTTCCACAAAAAAAAAATAAAATAAAATAATAAATAATAAAAAAAAATACCATTCACGTGTAATACATTTTTCAAGGCCTCTTTAATAATCATCAATAAATATTAATTTATTCTCTTTATTTATGCACGTGGTATATGGTGTTGTCCAAGATTACAACCAAACGCAATCCCGAATTCGATGGACTCCCTACCACTTGCTCCTCTCGTCTATTAGGGCTTCGGGCCATTCATGTTGAGAGTGACTCACTCACCGTTACTTCATCTAGATTTAAGCTTATTATATTTGACTTTTTCCTTACTAAGGAAAACCTTAAACGAAAAATAGAGAAAAAAATTATGGGATTGTTTTGCATTATCAAATTCACCAGTTTGGAACAAAAGTTAACATGTTTTGGAACGTGTGTTCCAAAATGTAAATCGTTAGGGTTTTTGTGTTTTCTGGTGACACTGAACCAGGCGAACTCATAATATCATTATAGGGCAGAAACTGCTGACGGCAAACAAGTAGATATTAAAATTTGCAAGTGATACAAGCAAAACCAAGATCAAGATTAAAAAACAGATCTGTGGAATTATATTTTTCTCCATCACATCTTTGAAAAGAGGCGGTGGCGGCAAATCTAGTCCAAGCATTAAGAATGGCATTCTGCTAGTTTCTGCAACAACATTATTCTGCTCAGTTCCACCATCTGCAGCACTGCTATTATTCTGTTCATCGCCATTTTCTCTCTTCTCAGCGAAAGATCTGCTATGAATCTCTTTTACAACCTCCAATTCGCCCTATTGAGCACAATGCATCTCTCAAGCACATCTTAACTTGAAACAATTCGCAATACAAACTATTGTATGAAAAAATAAAATAAAATGAAATGATAAGATGGATCAATAACCTGAAAGCACTGGTGAATGATGCTGCTACTTCGCTTTGAACTTCGTAGATCTGCATGAAGTGTATTAAGAAGCCACGACATAAATTCAACTGGGTCAGACTGCACACCTATTCGAAAACGCTTTTTACTGGCTTTCATTACTGCCTGAAGAAACTCATGTGGGCTCACCTGCAGAGATAGAATTTAAAAATACAATTTCATGTTCAAAGGCCATAAGAAAAAGGTGATTGTCACCAAGATCAAACCTGTCCCTTGAAGTTCCGTGCATGCCAAATCTTTCTTGTGAGTTCTCCAAATCGATGAACAAGTGGAGATTTGCTGTGTCGATAGTTTTCAGGGATAAGGAAGAAGTTCCTCAAGGGAGTAACTCGCATTAAAGATTGAATTGTGACGTTCACAAAATCAGTCTCCTTAATGTTATTCAAACCCACCTAAAAAATAGCCAAGACCGAGGAAACATAGTTACAAGCAGAAGGGCGACAAGGCGCACAATTTGATGTTAAATTATTTATCAGAAGGATAACAAATGACAAGAAGACAAAAATATGAAATGTGCTATTAAGGAGAACTGAGCTAGATACCATTCCAGGAAGATAGTCAGAACCATCAAGTGCCCTAGACCATTGTTTGTTTCTATCAAGCTCTTCAACCTGTTCCCTATTAAACCTGTTAAAATAATTGCAGAATTATGAGAATAGTCAATATAACGACGCTGCTAAGAGTAGCTACTTAATTTAGCATTGGCAGCATCAAATAACTTGTCAAAACATATGCATGCACCCACATATGTTGAAGGAAAGACTCAACAATCATATCATGCATAAGCATGTACCAACATGAATGCCCATACACACGCTGTGACTACAATCAACTGCTGCCAAAAAATAAGGAAGAAGAAGAAAGCATGCAAGTTCGAACAAAGTGTTGCCAAACCTTGGGTTCAAAACATGTCGAATGCCATCTAAAGATGGGTCATTAATTTCATATCCATCAGGAAGGCAATAAACTTTCTCTGTTCGCAGATTGATGTAAACATGGTGCCCTGCTTCAAGGCTATGAGTATATGCATGAGATTTCTGCCCTCTTCCTTGATAATACTTCCCACAGACCAAACATGCATAAACATTCAAGTTCGAAAGAGAGACAGAGCAAAATTTCTCGAAATCAAAATCTAAAACCTGCAAAAAATAGACAATCAATTAACTTGTGTGCAAATTTATGACCTTACAACCATAGTATCAACAAAATTAATCATCCACAATTGTATATTTATTTGAAAATAGATTCATGCCCAGATATTCACCAAGTCAATGAACACCCACATAGCATCTTATGTACTCAAACAACACTTTCTCTCAACCAAGTGGCAATGGGCAAACAATTTTTTTGGAAAATTACAAGCAAAAAAAAAAAGAATAAAAGAAAATGTTTGACTCTTGTAACAAATTAAACCCTAGGTTTTTAATTTTCTAAATTTAAACCTTGAATTTTTTTTGTTGGGCACAATCCAAATCGTATGTCCAGTTCCATTTACTAAACTAACAAGGAAAGAATATTTTAGTCTATTTACCCACTTCTCTCTCTTCGTCCTCTCTCCCCATCTCACAAAATCTAGTTTATCAAACCAAAAACAACACAGCCTCCAAAAATTTTCAGAAGTTACAAAACACCCAAATCATGAATCTAGTTTGAATTGTCGAGGTGGTGGCGATGGTCAAAGAAAGGAAGGGGGTGGCGTTGACTGAAGAACACTAGAAAGGGGAAGCTTCTTGCGGAGAAAAGAGAGAAAGGGTCAGTGTTGGCAAGGGAAGAGGAGGGAGGGGGTGGGGTGGCAGGAAGAGGGGGGGACTGGGGTTGGAGAAGTGGTCCTGGAAGGGGACTAGCGTGGTGGGATGCGAGGGCTATCAGTGGCGGCTTTGGGGGCTAGGAGTCAACAGGGGAAGGAGGAAGGGGTTGGCGAGGTGGTGGTAGAAGGGAACTAGGGTTTGGAGGATGGTAGAGCAAAGGTGCTAGGGTGGCAAGGAAAGTGGGAAAGTGAAATAGAGTGGTTGGGAAGGGGCTAGAGTAATGGGGTTTGGTGGTGGAAATTTTTAGCAATGAAAGTGGAGGTGGAGGCGGTGTCGCAGTGGCAGTGGCAGTGGCAGTGAAGGTTGAACTAGTAGTCCAAAGAAAAAAAAAAAAAAAAAAGAAGGTGCAGGATGAGAGAGTGATCTGGAAAGAAGGGCAATTTGATACCAAATGAATAATGAAAGGTTGGTGAAGAATGGAACCAATAAAAAAGTGCCACGTGTACCATATAATTTTAGTAGTTTAATAGAGATAGACAAATATGGTTTGGATTGTGCTCAATTTAAAATTTTAGCAGCAATATTGAAAATATTTAAAGTTTGCTTTTTACAAGGGTCAAAACCTAAAATTATTTTCGTAATTTTTCCTATTTTATATAAAATAATTGGAAAATAATTAGTTTCCATAATAAGGCTAGATAAATAAAAGCCATCTAAAACTAAACATGTAATGATTAATTAACTATGATCTGCCTACAAAACATAAAACAATGTGAAAAGCAACTAGAATAATGAAAAAAGGATCAAAACTGAGAAACATATCAATGGAATACCTGGCGATTCACAGTATCAAGATAAGGACAGTCCCTCCGAAGTTCAACTACTCGCTTGTGCTTCCCTTGACTCAGTTCCTTCTCACCGCGATCATCATCATCATCCTCGTCTTCATCATCATATTCATTGTCATCATTATGACCATTTCGCTCTTTCCTTCCATCATTATTTCCAACTCTACCCCCACTTGCTCCTCTCCTCTCATCATCTTCCTCCTCGTCCTCATCATCATCATCATAAGAAGCAAGCGGAAGAAGAGCATTATCAAATCCAAGCCGAGGTGGTGAGGGAGAGGGAGAAGAAGACTGCTCAAGCAGCTTCTGCCTCTTCGAGTATTCCTCCCGCACCCTATCCCCCTCCATGTTCTCTTCTTCTTCTTCTCTCTTTGTCTTCATCCTCGCCACACGCTATTCCAATTTCACTGCTGAAATATGTAATTCCATCATCATCTGTATCTAGCACACTAATTCCAGCATCCTACTGCATGATTTGAAAACCGAAAACTAAACAATCTAGAAAATGGAACAATTGTACACAAAAACTCATCCCCTAGGAATCCATTACATACATACATACATGTATATATATATCAACCAGTAGAAACAGGTTAAACTTACTGTATACAGAAGAGATTCGTATTAACTTGGAAAAAACAAATAAAATTCAACAAAAATATAGATGAATTACATAGGCATACATACATGTGCAATGTCGGCCCGATTTTATAGGTCCCTAGGTGCACTTCTAACCTAGGAATCCATTACATACATACATACATGTATATATATATATCAACCAGTAAAAACAGGTTAAACTTACTGTATACAGAAGAGATTCGTATTAACTTGGAAAAAACAAATAAAATTCAACAAAAATATAGATGAATTACATAGGCATACATACATGTGCAAGGTCGGCCTGATTTTATAGGTCCCTAGGTGCACTTCTAAAAGGGGGCCCTCTTACACCATTTACCACAAAAACAAAACAAAACAAAACAAACAAAAATGAAAAAAAAAAAAGAAAAAAGAAAAAAAGAGAGTAAAATGGTAAATACCCAAAAAAATAAAATTAGTATCCTCACAAAGTTTACCTACATATATGACAAGCCAAATCAACTGGCAAGGATTAGTCGAGATGTGCTTAAGCTGTGTAGAACCAAGTTTCTAAAACTCAACAAAAAAGAGGGTGAACAATACCCAGATAAGCAATATCAAATCCTAAGAAAACATTTATCAAACACATGGTGGACAATACCCACTACTCAGTCTGAATTTCTGGGAAAACAAAGTATACCCATAAATCCAACAAACTAAATTTTTTATTGTACCAACATACAAAAGCATATTCAAAAATTAGGCTGATAAAAAAAAATTATATATAACATTAACATATTATCTTTACCCTTTCTTTTCATAAATTTGTTCGAGACTTCATTCTAATTAATTTTTGAGATTTGATTGAAAGAAGAAAATTTTCTAAAACTAATAAATTTAAAGAAAATTCTGACCTTTTGGAGAGATATTCAATCTGAAGGAGATTTGGGGATGAATCGAATCTGATGGACAGTGCTGGAGGATTCTTCCCTTTGAGAAATCGAATGGACAGTACTGGCAGGTTCTTCCGGCGCCGCTGCTAGGTGGAGTCACGCCGGCTACGGTTCAGCCGGAGCAAATCACTCTGCTGAATCGAATCAAGGGCTAGGGTTTATGTGAAGAGAGCAGGAGAGTTCTGGGACTTGCATTTTGTTTGGGGAAATTATAAATATTAATAATTATAATTATTCTTATGTTATTTTTTAGTAAATAATTTTCACTGACTCTGTGTAATTCCCATTAGGGATGTAATAATGGTCCAGTACGACCCATCCGATCCGGGTTCGGGCCAATCCAAGCGGATCTCGAGAGCTCTTGCTTTTTAACGGGTCGACACATAGGCCGAAAATTAAGATTTAGGCTTAAGTCCATGTCCACCCAAGATAGAGCCTAAGGCCATGCCTAGGCGAGTCTCTTTTTTTTTCGAAAAAATGAACGATAAGTATATTATTTATGTAAATTATTTATTAGGGATAAAAAATAAAATAAAAATTATACAAAGTGTTTTAGTTAAGATTAATGAGATTTTTGTTTGGTTATGTTTCATTGTGGTATTTAAATTTAATTATGAAGTTATAGCTAAAAAAAATGCAATTATGTAATTTTTTTTCTTTTGAAATGAATAATTTTTTATATATGAAAATGAAACTTTTAATTTTATAATATTAAATTAATTATATAACATTTATTGAATAAATAGTTTTTATTTCAAAATAAAATAAAATATTACAAAAATTTATATGATTAAATAAAATAGGTGTACATTATTGATGATGGTACAGCAATTGCATCACTATAGGTCAAATACATTCCAACTATATTGCTACCTACTAAACTACCAATCATTTGCATTATACTCCACCTCAATAATCTAATTAAAAAAAAACGAAATGAAACAATAAAAAAAAAATGGTTGATCAATCATCGGAGGAGACAAACATTTCAGTCACGTTGCCCGAGGATATGTCATCCAAATTATTTTGAATTCATTCATTTTCACTGTAATTTTGTCTTCTCGTAAGTGTATATATATGATCTATGGATATCATCAGTGCTTCAACCATTTGGAGTGAAAGCTTGCTGCAGTAATAGCTCAACACCAGTCCACTTGCACTAAAAGCTGTTTTTGAAACAACTGTAGAAATAGGAATATTTCATATATCCCACGTCATCTGTGAAACCACATGCCACATAGTTTCATAATGTTTCCACCATTCCAAATTGTCAAAATCATTAAAATCATCCACTGACGGGCTTTCCAAATAACGTTGTAGTTCAGGACTACTGTAGCTCAACTTTTCATGCCGCTTTTCAGAAGACGAACAGCCCTACAGTTTGAACTCTGCTTGTGGTTCTGAATCTGATTTCACAAGTGCAATGTGAAACAATGAAAACACAAAAAAAGTCCAAATCTGGCAATTCTTTTTGGAAATCAATGTTTTGAATAAAATGCCAAAAATGGATTGCTTTGTCAGATTTCAAAGTCACCGCCTAAATATTTTTGGAAAATCTAGGAAACCCAAGACTCGTGCCACAGCCCATTAGTCCGTCATCACCAAAGTTGTCTCAACTCGGAAACTTAGGTACGAGAGGAAAAGGTCATGAATTGAACACCCCTCTCGCTCGATCAAAGATCGATCTCTACTAATCATGATATAATTCTTATTTACATTATATGCTCTTGTTCCAATTATTAGGCTATCGTTACTATGTGATGCACACAAGTATAGACTAATTTGCAAAAGTTGAAACATTTTTGATTTCATGTTTGGTTTGAAAATTGTTTTGAGTATGTACTGTAGACACCCAATTTTGGACTGTCCTCGAGACTTGGACGTCATCACTTGTGCATATGATGATTGTGATTGCATGTGTTCATTTTGAGTGCTCGAAATCCTCGACGGAACGCCCTGCCTTTGAGCCTTTAAGGCTTGTCCATTTTGTGCCTTGTTTTGGACCAAAACTTGGTGTCTGGACCTCTTGGTGACCTGTCAGCCACCACCATGGATTGTCGGCCATGGCTCATGGTTGTCGGCCATGGGTGTGGCCGGTCGGCCACCAGTGGTGGCCGATCAGCTACAAGTGGTGGTCGTCGTGTCTTTTTCCAGATATTTGTTAACAGCTATGACAGCTATTAGCACACTGAGCTGCATCTCCCTACATGTGTATAGTAGGATGTTTCTAAGCTCAAGGCTTGTTTTTCTATATATATGGGGGTTCTTCCCCCATTTTGGAGGGTTAAAAACTTTCGAACAAAAAATATCTCTCCTTCTAAATTTCTCTCTCTCTCTTACAATTTTGTGCTTAGTTACTTGTTTTCTCTACACTTTTACATACATACACTACCTTAATCAAAGTTGCTTCTCTTTGGGCTGAGGTTATTTGAGACCCTCTTTGAGCTCTAGCAAGTGGTTTTAGCTTGGTTTGGTGCCTAAACTTGAGTTTTGCTTCAAAGTAAGGAAGTCCAGGCTATCAGTAGCCGACAGCCACTATCAATGGCCGACAGCCACCATCACTAGCTGGCCAGCCACCAATGGAAGCCGACCAGCCACCATTGATAGCCAACTGGCCCCTTGTCGGCCATCAGTGAAATTTGCACGGTGTGTTTGTAAGGTGAAGCAAAGGTGTTTTGAAAGTGGACAGAGTTGTTGGTGTTCAATGTGCAAACAGAGGCATTCAGCAGCAAGGCAGTGGCTTTTCGGGTGGAAACCGAGCATGCATGGGCCTTCCTCGCCTCCCGGGATTAGCTAATTGGTTTAATTAGCAATAGCTTAAATACGTGTTTGTAATTGATTAGTTGTAGCTAATTAAATGTTGTAAATAATTAGTTAATTTAACTAGTTATTTGATTTCGTTTTGTAATTAGCTTAGAATAGTTAATTAATTCGAGTCTTGTAATAATTAGTTAGCTTAAGTAGCCTAGTTAACTAGTTAGCTTTTATTCATTCGGAGTCTCCTTTGCGAGGGCGTAATGTTGTAATAAGTGTGTGTGCTTGTGTGTATGTCTTTCAACCCCACGTCTTTCTTCCTTTTATTTAATCGTTTTTGATGGTTAGATTAGGGACATGTTTCGATTAGCATATCTTATGCTTGCATCCATTCATTCATATTGCATGCACCGAGGCTCGCGTGCATCATTCAAACTACATTTTCATTTCAATACTTCTTTGAATACGTGTTTAACCGCATGTTATCAAATCGATCCATATGTCATATTAGTAGCCGAGCCTATTAATTGCATGTGTTGCATTAGACATCTTGTATAGTTAGGAATCATGCATTATTTTCTAACTCATATTTTCTTCGCTTGGAATACTTGGTGAGTTTTTATGCTTTAGCATACTTGCATAAGTGTAAATGTTACCATATCTATCATGCTTACCATAAGGCTAAATGCTTACTTGCTAAACTGCTTGAATGCCTGTGGATGAAGGCTTGTTGTTTGAATTGGAACAATTCAACAAATGTGCGTTTTAAGCCCACTTTGTTGAGTGGCAAATCATGTTTTAAGCCCTCTATGTTTGGTGGCAAAACCGCAAACTTTAAGCCCACTTGAGATGGCAAATTCAAACCATTTTTGCAAACGAACATAAGTTGAATTGTTCCAAATTGAGCAAACTAGTCTATACTTGCTTGTGCGTATCACATAGTAAAGCTAGCTTAATAACCAGAACAAGAACACGTAATGTTTATAAAAGATCATATCATGATTAGTAAAGGCCGATCTTTGATCAGGCGAGCGGGGGTGCTCAATCCATGGCCTTCCCCTCTCATACCCAAGTTCCTAAGCTGAGGCAACTTTGGTGATAACAGACATGTGGCCTTTGGCACGAGTCATGGGTTTCCTAAATTTTCCCAAAATAAAATATTTAGGTGGCAACTCTATATCTAGCAAAACAGTCAATTTTTGGCATTTTTTATCCTAAAATCAATTTTCAAAAACGATTTGTCGGATTTGGACTATTTGATGTCTATCAGTTTCACATTGCACTTATGAGATTAGATTCAGAACTACGGGAGTCCAAACTGTAGGGCCTTCTTTCGAACCTTCCGAAATGGGGTGCGAAAAAGGCGAGCCACAGTTTCTAGCGACTCCACTGGGGATTTAGAAAACTTGATTCGAACTCATGATATGACTTTTTATCTACACTTATGTGTTTCTTTGCATTTGTGCACCTAAGTCACAGTTTTTGCCATCTGCTATTCCTGAACGGTTTGCCGGAGGCTTACTTGGAAAAGCTCGCCAAAAGGCTGACCGGTTGCCGGCTCTGCTATGATGGGAACACAACTCTTGGATCTGGACTACCGTTGTACCGTTTGATTCTCCTTTCACTTTCTCGGTGTTAGGTATGAGAGGTATATTAGGTAGTCTTTATAAGTTATTTGGTTGTAGCTCAACGCAGGGGTTTTGGGGGACAAATTTGAGGGCACTGATTCTACTCTTTTTTTGAGGGCACAAATTTATGGGATAGTTTGTTATGTTTCCTCTTCTTCTTTTTTTTGGTTTCTGAACCTTTTTAGGGGATTCCATTTGATTACGATCTGTAATGAACATGACTTTAATAAACATCAAACCCAATAAACATCAAACCCAAAACATGAAATTATTTAATAAACAAAACTTTAATTACGATCTGTAATGAAGGAGAAGAAGAGAGAGAGAAGGGTACAAAATATCAAACCCAAATCAGAATCTTCATAAGTTGATGCAGAATCTGTAATGAAGGATTCCATTATCTTCAAAATATCAAACCCAATTATTTAATAAACAAAACTTTATACAGGGGCCATTATAGACATAACAGGAACATACTGTCAAAACATACTGTTTATGATGCAGAATCTTCATAAACAGGGGCCTTCTTGTCGGGAATGGCGGGGTAGGGCGTCGGCGTCGGCGTCGGCGGGGCGGGACGACGATGCCCTCCTCTTTCTAAATCGAAGACAGGAATGGGTAGGTGGAGATGAAGGGAGGAAGAAGGAGGGTTCAAGTTTGGGTTCGACGATGCAAAACAAAGGCCTAAAATGGGGAAGGGGGATGAAGGAGCGGGAGATGAAGGGTGGAAGACAGGAATAGAGGGTTCGAGTTTGGGTCTCCGGCGAGGGAGAGGAGAGGTGGTCGGTGGGGAGGCAGAGAGAGATGTATCTGTGAAAGAGATTCAA